CTCATCCATACCATCAAGGGTGACTTTAAATCTCTTCGTTTTTTCATCTCTTCAAAATAATTCAAAAAATCTCTAAAAATTCACCAACATACTTTCAACTTTCTAGAATAAATATTGACTCTTTATTTTGGAAAATAATAAAATGTAGTATAATTTATAATTACCGAAAGACTCAAAGAAACTTGCACGAACAGGAATCGCTCAGTCACTAGTTACCCATATTAGTACGGTAAGGGTTAAATTCTTATAATACCTCTGCATATGGAGATGAGAACTGTGTTTTTATTTGCACGAGAGAGAGAGAGAGAGAGAGAGAGAGAGAGAGAGAGAGAACGAGTAATAAAATCGAGTAAGACAATCAGCCGGATGCCTTCTTTCAATTTCTCGAAAAGATAGCCGCGCGATACTATGAAATCACTCCGGTGCCACCCTCGCGTGGGTCAACCCCCCGTCTGCGTTCGCACGCTTGTGCGTACGTCGCGGAGACGTTCACGCGTGTCGGGAGTGCGGAGGGGGACATTCGCGAGAGAGAGATAGAGAGAGGGGGAGGGGGGAAGGGTGGAGGAGGGGGACTGCGATCACGATAAAGTTCACACAGGAATCGTACGCGGCACGCGCTCGCATGATTATCGGCGCCTGGGAACGGAGCTGACTAATCGTATCGTTAACTTTTCAGCGGGGATCGACCGGACCGATTACGCGACGTGAAATGCAGAAAGTAAATTGAAAGTCCACTCTGGGAAAAGTTGGCCCGAGATGTGCGTGACACGGACACAGTATTGTAAAAGGGCTAGAAAAAGAAACAGAATTCGCATAATTTTAATCTCTTTATAATTAGTAATTTATTTTCCATTTAAGAAATATTTTAGTCTTTCTCTGATAACTAGTAATTTCTTTTTAACTTAAGAAATATCTAAGAAATTTAAGAAAAATATTTTATATAGTCTCTCTCCTTCTCTCTCCGACAATTATATAGTGACTTCCTTCCAATTTAAGAAATGCTTAAAGAATTTAAGAAATATCGAGTGGTCCACGTTTTATTTTTTTTATCTTTTAATATAAATATAAGTACATTTCTTAAACTATACAGAAATTAACAAAAAAAAAATGTTAACAGCAGTAACAACAATCTAATCGAAAACAATCTTGTTAATTCAATGACACTTAATGACAGTATTAATGAAACAAATACGCCATGCTCTTGTGTTTTAATAAAATTTATTTTATTAATACTAAATTGAATTAATATAATTATTTTTAATTAGACTACTATTGGCTAATGTTGTAAATACTCATTTTTTTCTACATATAAGAAGAAACTTAATAAATGTGATCGAAAAAACGTCTCAATATCGCGGAGGAGCACAAAACGTTCACATCAGAGTATTTTTTAAATTAAATTAAAACAGATAATGTATCATAAATCTATTTTAAAACAATATTTTACAATTGATATACATATAATGCATGTTGCATGTAGCAACATTCTCATTCTTGTAATTATGCATGATGCAAAAGATTTAAGTTCCGAAAAATTTCTACCTTTGTATATATAATTTCTTTGGATTATACACGCGAATCAGTTTCGCGAGAAACTGCAGGACATCGTAAACAGAGATTGATGCAGATTAACATCGTGCTACGTTTGCACGAGAAGGTCGGTTTACTTCCCTGGCGATCGCATGCCGGGCGAGTGATGAAAATGGTGCGACGATGATCGCAGCGGGTATCGCGAGACGTGCACCGCGTCGCGTGCACACGTCCAGCACACGTCATCACGCGATCAAGGGCTCGAGAGAGGTAAAAAGAAAGAAAGAGAAAGAAACAGAGAACGAGAGAAAGGGAGAAATACAAAGTGGATCGTGTGCCTGTTTTTTTTTTGCACCTCGCACAACCGATCGGCTATTCTTCGTCACCCCGAACTCACGACAGTCTACCCTACGGATAGTCCTTATTTCGCATTATGTAATATCTTCCTGCGCGGACCCATCGTGCCTTTTAGTGCCTCCTGGACAGAAGTGCAAGAGAACACTGGGTTCCGTACATAGGTATCGCGTGGTCGCGCATTCCCTAGCTGGAAATTTTACAAAGGGATGATGTAAATCCAAACCGCAACTCGACTCCGTCAAGAGATAAATTTTTGCAGATTTTTTTCGGACTACTTTCTTTTTTTCTGATCGATAAATGAAAATAATGATTTTACTGAAGTATCTAAAATTTAATTAAATACAGATCTGAAAATAATTTTGATGGATCACCAAAATAATTATACAAAACACTTATACTGTTAAATTCATAATGTTAAATTATGTCCAATTTGAGTTATTTTTATTTCTATAGATTGCTACTGATTCCATTGCTCAATATATATATATATATATATATATATATATATTGAATTTATTATAGTACGTTAATGTGTGTCGAAACCAACTATAAAGATTAATTTACATTTTGAAACAGATGGAAATTAAAAATAACAAAATATTTAACTCAAGGGATTGGGTTGCTTTTTTGATATCTAGTAGTATTTCTGATTACGACTACAGTGCGATTCTTTCAGTCATTTATGATTGAACAGAAATTCGTGTTTGATAGAGGTCTCTGCATAGATTTTCCTGTCGAGAAAGGGACTATGCACAATTAAAGGAATAGGGAACAGACAACAAACTATTAGAAAATATGTATTCCACAGTACATGATTTCTGATAGGTTAAAATTCTTAAGGTGCAGCCACAATAGAAGGAATAAGAAATTAGGAACAAGGAATAACGATTCTATCAAATATCGAATACACTGTTTCTATATACGATAGGTTGAAATCTTTATTTCTTATTCGTATTCCTTATTCCTTCTATTGTTAATGCACCCTTAGGGTCTGCGCACAATAGAACAAATATTAGGAACAGGAATAAGTATTAGGGCCTGCGCACAATAGAGGAACAAGAATTAGATATTAAGATTTCAACCTATCAGAAATCGTGTATTCCGATGTAATCAGTTTCTGATAGGTTGAAATCTTAATATCTAATTCCTGTTCCTCTATTGTGCGCAGGCCCTTAAGATTTCAATCTATCAGATACTAATTACATCGGAATACGCGATTTCAGGTTGAAATCTTAATATTTATTCCTATTCCTAATATTCCCTCCATTGTGCGCAGGGCCTTATGGTGTAGCCACAATAGAAGGAATAAGGAATTAGGAATAAGGAATAAGGATTCCAACCTCAGAAACCGTGTATTTCGGTGTATCCGATATCTGATAGGCTAAAATCTTTATTCCTTATTCCTAATTCCTTATTCCTTCTATTGTAGCTGCAACTTTATTCTCTATTTCCTATTCTTTTAATTGTGCACAGTCCTAACTGTTTCCTATTCTAGAATTCATTATCAAATGACCTTAAGCACGAGAAAAAGCATAAACAATAGAAAGAAAGAATAAAATCTGGAATAGAAAGAAAGAATAAAATCACACCGTGTATACCTGAATACAAGATTTTCGATAAGTTGAAATCTATTATTCCTTGTTTCTGTTGCCTGTGCTTTTCATTGTGTTTGAGGGTTTAGGGATTATTTATACAAGCCGTAATCTGTAAGAATTGACTAATCACAGTGGAATAAGAGAGAAATAATCGGCTATGATTAATCAATTTTTACGGATTATGGCATAAATTAACGGCCTTTTTTATAAATGGACGTGTTCAAGTCGGACAAAGTTACTAGCCTGCTTGCCAAGCGATTGGATGTGATTGGTTGAATTTATAAGCAACAACCAATCGTATTCCTTTGCTCAGCGAGCAGACTAGTTTTGTCGACTTGAATGCATCCAAAGATCTTTTAATATTAAAAATCTATAGTGCAGCTAACCTAAACTATAGATTTTCAGAGTATTAAATTTGGAACATATGTTATAAAGATGCCTTTCATATTGACACTTAACACTTATTTTCAACGTCGAAACAGATGTGAAAAAAATTGACGAATACCGTGCGTTAATTTTGTAACCTGTTTTATGCGGAGTCTACAATAGGCCTGTTTTTTTTGGCTGAACTTTTGCACCAGTTCATCTTTCCTGCTGGAAAGAAAAGGAAAAAAGATGAACTGGTGCAAAGGTTCAGCCAAAAAGAACACGCCTATTAGCGTTCGTAGAGTCTTAAGGGGATCCTAAAGATCTGTATTACCAACTTAAACATGTATAATTTTTGTATAACGAATACTCTTTTTCTCTTTCACGGATTGGAAAATCCTTTTCCAGGATTAAAGTATATGCATTAATACGTGTTTGTAAAGTAGAGTCTACGCTGAGAATGATCAAAAATTTCGAAATCAATATATTTTTTACCATTTCTTAATGTAACATGGCGTCTCAGCTGTCAAGTCGTGACAACATTTGTTTGATATGAAAGCTTTGCAACCCGAACGTACGAAATAATAGTTCCCAAACACGTAATTTGCACGAACATACAACGTCGAGTTCTTAGAATTAGATTTAGACGCTTTATCGCGATGAATTCGTTGTACGAAAATTGACACGTATGTGTGACTGCGTGTATCATAGGCTGCGTGAGATATTGCTGTGGTAGTATAAAAAGACATGTCGATGTGCGGCGCGCGGCGCGACATCTAGTGATTTTTCGGAGTTCGAGCTTTGCTTTAGGAGATCCCCTTAAATCGTAAAAAATTAACCAATCGCAATTAAATATGAGGAGAATAATCGACTATGATTGGTCAATTTTCTACGATTTAAGACCCTACGACCGCTACTATTTCTATGTAGACTCCGCATTTAGCGTCAGTATGAAAAGGCACCTTAAAGAAAAAAAATTATTTAGTAATTTTTTTCTTCCGCTTCGAAGCATCAGCAGCCACATGGTGCATTGCATTATTGTATAATACACAGTACTGTTTAATGTTGATAGATTTTGATTATTGTATCATATTTTCTGTGCAGGTGTTGGATATTTACGATACGAGTTTTTAAATATACCTACATAATAAGATGTCTGAAGATAAGGTGAATTTGTCTGGACAAGAATATTGGTAAGTTTAAAATTCTTCTTTTTTCTTTTTGTTGTAATCTTTGAAGAAATATATTATACATTGCCACTGAGTAACTGTAGAATAATGATGCGCATGCACATTAATATTTTAGAATCGGATTGCTTCCGTTTAGTGACTTTTTATATAAAGCTAAAGGTTACATAAAGGTTATATAAAGCAAAGCTGGAATTCATTGCATTCGACTTGGAAAAAGTTCGGGACACCCTGTATATATACCTATATATTTTTTCTCATGTTGGTAAAAATAAGAAAATACAGTATTAAAAAGTAAAAAAAAGTTCTGAAAAAATTCTCATAACTTTATGAAAAGAAAATAAATGATTTTTGTCTGTTGCAGTTTTTCTGTAAAGTTGATAGTATTTGAGTAAAAAATTATTAAAGACCAATATTTTGTAATTTTTAATAATTAATATCTTGTTAATTATTGCGAAAATTACAAAATGGTAGAGGACTTTTCGATTCAGTTTAGTCCGCTCTATCTACACAAAAGTGATTGGCAAAAAAGTTCGGGACACCCTGTATACTAAAAATACAATGACGTCACAAATGTATCCCAGCTCTGGTTTAGAATTATTAAACGACCGTTTAAAAACTGACAAATAATCGGGGCGTAATTTGCTTGAATCGGAGATTGTTGAACAGTTTCCTGTATCTAGATGAAATGGCGTCATCTTATTTTTACTAGAATTTATATTATCTTTATCTGTTAATTTTAAATAAAAAAGTGTTATCTTTTCTCAAATATTATCTAGACAATTATCCTGTTTAAATTATTTAAGATGGAAATCAATTATCTAGATAATTTGAGAAAATATAATACTTTTTTATTTAAAACACCGATAAAGACAATATACATACATATTCTAGTAAAGATAAGATGAAGCTATTTTATCTAGATTATCTAGTTAATTTCATCTAGATACCAGCAAACACTATCTAACAATCTCCGTTTCAAGTAAACTGCGTGCCGATTTCATCGTTTCGAACTTGAAATGTAATTCTAAACCGAAGATGGGATTCATGCATTTATATTCAAACATATTTATTGTATCATAAATTCTTAAACAATTTGTTGATTTTACTGTATTTTTTTAGCAATGTAGATATCATAGATATTCAGTAGTCTTATTTTAGATATTTTTATGTCGATCATTCGTATTTTTTACTCAAATACCATTAACTTTAGAAAAACAAGAAGTGACAAATGTTTATTTTCTTCTCATAAACTTCTAAGAATTTTTGGTAAATATACAGTATAACGAACCACCCTCCGATGACCTAGACATTAACAAATGTTGTCAAGGTCATGACCCCGAGTGACCTTTAGAAGGTTTTAGCCCGCGGTCATCCTTCGTTAAAAGGTTGTTAATAAAAGAAGTTTGAAAAATAATGTATTGTGTCTGCTATACATGCAATATTAAATACCATTCTACATAGGTTTTTACTTTCAACACGAAGCGACTCTCACCCCTCCCCCCTCCCCCCTGCTTCAGAGGCGCACGACTCTCACCTCCGACTCTCACCCCTCTACCCTTCCGCAAAGGGGCGTCTCCGAAAGAAAATTCTGCTACATAACAAAAATTCTGTACTTTAAAATAAATGTTCTGCTTTATTATACACTTAAATAAACGCTTGAAAATACGCTATGATATAATGCTATGACATAACGCAATGATATAATATCTTTGATTCATTCATTTCATACAATTTCATTCAGAAGATACTCAGTAGTCATTATTTCAAAAAAAGTTTCTATACGTTCATCGAAGTTATATCTTTTTTTGAACATAAACTCTGCTAAGTAATGATGAAAATGAGACTTTTTGCGACCCCATCGGAGAATACTTCCACGAATAGCTCTCCATATTCGTTCAATGTTCTGAGTATGAACGCCTGTATCTGGATCAACAAAATGTTGCGAATGATTGACTGTTTCGTGTCGATACACTTCATCAATACCACTGTATGCTTTCCTGCAATCACTATAAATTATCGATCCCGGAGCAATGTATTTTTTGATAAGTGGCAATAATATTTCTGCTTTACGGAACACAACGGGCACAACAAACATTTTTTTAGTATTACGTTCGATACCACTCATAATAGCCATTGCCCTGTAATGAGTCGTCCACGATTATACTTCCGACGGCCAAATTTTGCTTCATCAATTTTAACTATAACTCCATTTCCACCAATCTGATCTTGTTTATGTATCAACCATTCATAAGCTAAAAATTAGATCGTAATTGAATAACGTTCTATGATATTTATTTTTATAAACGAAATATGTTCCTTACTTCTCGGCAAAAGTTATTCCAGTCAACTGCTGTACATGGTGAGATATTTAACTCATTTTGTAGAAACTTTTGTCGAGGACTATTCATCATCATCCCGTAACAAATAAACCCACAAACTGTATCAATAAATAAAAGCGAATGCGAAAACCAAGTGCATAGCACTAATTTTAAAATTACGAATAATTCGTTTTCGTTTACACTTCTGTCTTTATTTATAATAATGTTGCTGACATTGGAATAATAGTAAAGACTTATTAAGTTCGATCTCATTATCATCGTGGACATATCAACTCTTTCACGGATAACTTTTTTCTTACACAAATACTTTATTAATTCGTCGCGATTCAATGTCAAAGCAAGAAACTCGTAGAATTTTATCTTTGCGGATTTAATGTTATCCTCGCGACAACCTGTACAAACGCTGTTAGCTGATTTCAATAAGCCATTATATAAACCCTTTATGTCCTCTATTGATACACATATACTGATTTCTCCCTTCCACTTTTTCCTTTGCTTCGAGGTGATTCCTGTTTATTGCGCGAAGCAAAATCCACTGTACATAAAAATGTACATTAAATTAAAAGGGCGCAGATAACTTTGCATGGGGGAAGAAATGGTGAGAATCGAAGGTGAGAGCAGTGCGCCCCTTTACAAGGGGGAAGGGGGAGGGTAAGAGTCGCGCGCCCCTTTGCAGAGGAGGAGAGGGTGAGAGTCGTTTCGTGTTGAAAGTCAAAATCTATGTAGAATGGTATTTAATATTGCATGTATAGCAGAAACAATGTATTATTTTTCAAACTTCTTTTGTTAACAACTTTTTAACGAAGGACGACCGCGGCCTAAAACCTTCTGGAGGTCACTCGGGGTCATGACCTTAACAACATATGTTAAGGTCAAGGTCATCGAAAGGTGATCCATTATACTGTATATTTACCGAATTTTTTTAGAAATTTTTAATACCATATTCTCTTATATCAGTAAAAATAGTTGCCAATATATACATATGCATAAGTAAATGCGGTAATGAAAAGTTGATAAAAATTTTGAAAAAATTCTTGAAGAATTCTATAAGAAGAAAGTAAACAATTTTTGTCTCTTGCTGTTTTTCTGTTAAGTTGATAATATTAGAGTAAAAAATTATTGAAGAGAAATATTCGACAATTATTATTAATTAATATCTTGTTAACTGCGAAAATTGTAAAATGGTACAGGATTATTCGACTTAGTTTACTCCGCTCTATATACACACGAGCGCTTCGTCAAATCTTATCGGGCAGCCTGTATATATATGTCTACAAAATATCAGGATAATAATAAATTATAAAATTATTATTAAAATTAATATTATATTATATGATAATCATTTAAATTTGAAACAACCATACAAATAATTTTACAAAATTATCAATCGTTTGCATGGTGAGATCTGTATTTTCAGTAATATTTTGTCTGTGAGATGTTTACCAAATTTCGAACAAAAGAATTTTGAATAAGAATAAAAAAGTTATAATTCTTCAAGTGATGACATTAAATAGGTTTGCCAACTTTTCAGATAAATAAAAAATATTCGAATAATATTAATTTGTTGATTTCCACGCAATCATGAATAGTTTTATTACATTATTGACTGTTTTTCTAGGCAGCAAAAATATTCGTTGTTCAGGAAGAAGTTAAAGCTTTTTATTAACACCTATGGTACTAATGTTACAACAAATAATATTGGCTCTTCTTTTTGGGTTACTCAAGGTGGAGAGGTACATTAAAAATTTATTACAAAAAATATTTTATATTTGTATGAACTTTAATAATACAAATCGTTATTCAATACATTTTAAATATTTTCTTATGTGTTTAGAAGTCGATCTAAACAGAGAGTATAAAAAGGTTTGTATTTTGATTTCATAATATATAGAATACGAGAGAGATGAAATGAAAATATAAATTCTTTAAGAAATAACATAAATATTGTTTTTAGAAAAAAAAAAATTGAAAAAAATATTGCTGATACAAAGAACATTTTTATATTCTCTATAGTTAAATTAGTTACTATATAGAAGTGAATTTACGTATATAATAAACGTACATAATACGTCTTTTATATTTTTACAACATCATGTAATATTTTTACACATTTCGTAATATATCATAACACAAATATACACACACACACACAACATTTAAATCTTTTATATTTATATTTTTTATCAATAAGTTCAGTAAATTGATAGAGTTGATAGAAGTTTTGTGTAAATTTTGTTCAATAAATTGAACAATATGTAGCAGTGCAGATAATTCAATACATTGTTAATTTTTAGCTTGCTTTTATGCTGCATTATTTTATTCTATGATATTTTATAATTTTGCAACTAAATTAAGTACATTATGTTGTGTGCATATCTGTAATACAACGAAAAATATGCGATAACAATATTTTTATGCAAAAGAAATATCTTTGGGACCCAATCGGGATAAAACATACAATTGAAAGAAGTTCATGTTTTCCTAACACAAGTCAAATGCCTAATGAGATTGATTGGACCAATACACGCATTGTACAATCCTCAGTTAACGATGACAATATTCTCGTTTTAACTGACAAAAGAATGGTAAAGTTGCTAATATATCTAAAATATTATAACAAGTATAACAATAATAATAATTTATATTCATGAATCGTATATAAATATAATGAAATTATTTAACATTTAGTTATATCGCTTTCGCTTATGTTGCAATGAGTCGTATACTTTAATCATCACGGGGAAAATTGATACTAAAGGCAGTGATGACGTAGAATTAAAAATCAGTGGCATTGCTTGCGGCAAATCTTCTTCTGTATTTATTACTAGAGATGGAAAAATATACGAATGTACTGATACTAATACCGACTTTTATGGACCGCTCATACAATCTAAACTGCTTCCTCTCTCACAAAAAATAATAGGTAATTTATTTTTCTTCTTAGCTTATTTATAAGAAATAAAGATGTATAAATGGATCGAGGATTTATAAATATAATATTATATAATTTAAATAATCATATTTGTCCAATTTTGTGATATTTTAGTTAAGGTAGTCGCAGGATTTGATCATATCCTTGCACTTACTGCTAAAGGAAAGGTTTATGGCTGGGGTGCAAACATTCACGGACAACTGAATTTTAATAGAAATTGCGGACAAGCAGGACGTTTAGAGTCTCCTTCCGAAGTGAGTTTTTTGTTATTTATAATTTTCATGATAATAAAAACTGAAATATATGTATAATAAAGAAAAGGATCTTGCGATTAACAGATAAATATACCTAATGTAAGAAAAGTATCAGATATCGCCGCCATGAAATTTATGAGCGCTGTCAAATCTAGCGACGATGGACTTATTTACATACAGGGTTGTTTACAAGGAAAAAAAATTAAGCGTTTTGCTGTCTGTGAATATACAAATATATTTGACGGACAAAATTCATCGTTCTATTTGCGAAAAGAAAATTACACAGATGAAGAGAAAGATATAATGGATGATTTAAGAAACGCGTTCAATGATCGTGTAAGTCTCAATCTCTGTTCTATTCTTTCTTCTACTATAATGAATTTCCAATTGATTGGAGACATGTATGTGTGCTAAACGTCATAAGAACATCGTTTATTGAAATTATACTAACATCGCATGTCGGCAGTATTTACTTCAATTCTCCTTTTTATACTCTTTATAAATCTTTAGCCTATTTTTTACGTATCTAATAATCTTTCTCTTTTTATTTAAATTATTACCTGCATTTATCTTTAACAATTCTTATTTTAAACATAAAATATAAAGAGCATACAGCCACGCACATGGTGTTTTTTGCGAATGTCATATATTTAAAATTCTTACGTTACAGATAAAAATTAAAGACATTTCGGCCTATATCAGGCCATCTTCAGTATTCAATATAAATAATATAAAAATAGTTCACAGTCATAAGATTAAAATTATTAAAATAAGTAAACGATCAATGATTCTTAGTCATAAGATTATAAAAATAAATTAACAATAAATTTTTGTTCGAATTATTTTTACTAATAAAAGTAGTTCTGTGTTTCGTATAATTGTTTGTCTCACATTAAGAAGGACAATTTAAATATTGATGGAGAATAATAATAAGGATCGTTGTAACAAGCACAGGTACGTCTATAAAATATAGATATATAAAAAATGGAATCGGTTTTTGATAATTTAAAATTTGGAATTTTTTTATTCTTATTAGAATCTGGAAATCTGGTGTTTCTCACAATTTTTCAATATAAAAGTCTCTCGTTAAAATGAATAGAAGCAATAATTTTCAATATAAAAGTCTCATAAGAACGAATAGAAACAAAGATTTTTCGGCAACATACACAAGCGTAGAGTGTTATTCGAACAAAAATTCATTGTTAATTTAATCTTTTAATCTTATGATCAAGAATCATTGATCGTTTATTTATTTCAATTCTTTTAATCTTATGACTGCGAACTATTTTTATATTATTTATATTGTATACTGAAGGTAGCCAGATATAGGCCGAAACGTCTATAATTTTTAGCTCTAAGGTAAGAACTTTAAATATATGACATTCGCAAAAAATACTTTGCGCGTAGCTGTATGCTCTTTATATTGTTCGTAATTTGCGGGCCACTTGCGAATTTATAAATTTAATTCTTATTTTTTATCTCTGAAGTCCACGAGCGATCTTACAATACAAGTGGACGGGCAATCTATTTACGTTCACAAAAGCATTCTGAAAATGCGTTCTTCATATTTCAAAAACATGTTTGCGTTTAATGAGATGCAAAACAGACAAAGGTATCATTTATGAAAAGACTATACAGAATTTTTATGAAAAATTTTTTATGTTTTATTTATGTATTGTACTTTAACATCTTTTTTGGAACAGGGTTATCAAATATGGTGATTACTCATATGATGTGTATAGAAATTTTTTTAGATTTTTGTACACAGGCTGTGTCTTCTATACATGTTCAAAGGAGATGACAGGTGAGTGTTAGTTATTTACATATTAATACTGTCTTTAACCTTTCGTAGTCACACTGGCGTCAAAATGACTCTAGAGTGCATTTGACTAATAATTTTTTTTAACTTTATAAAATGAAAACTGAATACGGCAGTCAGTTAAATGCGCTTGGAAGTCATTTTGATTCCGATGTAATCATTACAGAATTTTTAAAAAGTGTGAGCCCGAAGGGTTAATTCGTAACTAAAATGAATTTTTCGTTATACAGAGCTCTTGAAATTATCTGATCAATACTGCGAGATAAATCTTGAGGAAAAATGCATTAAGAAATTAAAAAAGAATATGAATTCATCAAATGTATCCTATATCAAGGAAATAGCGATAAAGTATAATAAGAGGGTAACTAAATATCACTTCTTTTCTATTATTTCTTTTCCAAGATAAAGTATTATATAATTTATAATAAGCTTGATATATTGTCCAATTGAATTTTAATTCTTTATGTTTCTTTTATACCTTTTTTATTCCTGTTTTATTGCATAGTAGAATATATCTTTTTATTGAAATTCCTTAAGAAAATGTAATCCCAACTTATGTGCCAACTGCTCTACTCTATCCAATCAGTTTCATGGACACATCTAGCGGAAGGGCTCGCGAGTTCAAACTCCTCCGAAATTTTTTAATCATTTCTTATTTTTAATTATATACAATTAAAATTTTTTTTTTATTTTGAGTAAATTTTTGTTGTCACAAAAAATAATTTTTTCTCATTTACAATCATGTAAGTAATTTTTGAAACCTTCGGTAAGTTTTGACAATGTCTAATAAAGAAAATTTTAGCGATATTTTTTTTAACAAAAAACAGAATATGCGCTAAAATATTAATAAATATTCCACTCATAACTATATACATTTTGTTTTTAATAACTTAATCTTGTTTCTACTTTCTTTAGAAAAAAAATTATGTGTGTGTGTGTATGTGTGTGTGTGTGTGATTTCCAAAATCGAATATTTTTTGTATTCGAATCGGGAACAGGAAGGAGACATTCTAAATCTTAAAAGATTAAAAAAAGCAATTATTAACGCAAAACAATGCTGTTTATGAGATAACAGATTTATTAAATCATTTTTATCAATTAAACCTCTCCCGAAAGAAATTCTGGATACGCCCATGATCATGTTTAATACTAGAATTCATTAACTGTAAAAAATATATGTCTATATACACACTTATTTATTTATGTATCATATAATTTTCAGGAATTGGAGGAATACTGTGACATGTATCAATTATCAAGAGATGCACATAATCCTAAGCGGAAATTCGATGAAGTATGAAATAATAAATAATATTTCTATTTCTTTAAACCATTCTTATATCTCTTAATGAAACTTTGTACACATTTTATAAATTATGTTGTATCATTGTACGTTTTACTTCTAAGCATTACTTATAAATTTTTCATAAACTGTCCCTAAGAATAATCGTAGGTATTTCTCACACTTACGGATGTATGTAAAAATTGCAAGAGTTTGAAAAAGATTTTTTCTAATATAAAAAATGAGTATATTTCGAATTCCTAATGTTTCTTTTAGTAGTAAACAATATAAAATGTTTATTGATATAGTTATTTATCTCAACCCTCAAACGGCACACTGGTGCGAAGTCGCACCAGCAAAATTTACAAAACATTGGCATTTTCCATCAAAGATCTTTTCTTAATAACAATTTAAGATATAACACTAATTTTCGCAAATATAAAAGTAAGTTAGTGTTACACGAAAAATATATTTTGCAACTATCTTCAACAGTTACGCTAACATTTGGCAAATTACGTACACTGAGAGAAAAATGTTTGGTATTTTAACTATAATTACATATCACTATAATTATGATTATTACTGCTATAATAATAATAACAGTAACTATGTATATAGTTTTACCAACAAATGTATATAGTTGGCAACCTAAAATGACTATAATTATAGTTGTTATAACCATAAAATAGTTGAAATTACCATAAAATGATTCAAGTGACTATAATTTTATATAGTTATATTTTGAGACAACCATAAAAATTATGGTTGTTCCAAAATATAACTATAAAATTATAGTCTTTTTTTTTTAAATTCTTAGAAAAATGTCAGATGTCGAATGCTTCACACGGCTATTTGATATGATGCATATTAATGGAATTATTCCATTTTTTTATACGGAAAAAGATACCCATTTTTTAAAGTCGTTTTATAATAGTTTAACTGCAAAAAATCGTTTTGTTATTAAGTGTACGTGATAGTGCAACTCTTGAAGAAGAAAAATCACCTCTG